CAAGGTAAACTACGATGTCGTGGTAGCCTCGTTTGGCCATCATACGCCGTACGGCCTGCGTGATACGATGGAAGATTCCGGGTGAGCTTTTAGCTCCGAAAGGAAGACGCGTGTCATAGAAATACGTATCGAAGTTATCACCTGCGAAACGCCATTTACAGCCAGTGGCTTGATAATTTGCTGGATGAATGGGAACGGAACGGTAAGCATGCTTGAGATCTATTTTAGCCATGTAATAATTAGGTTTAAGCAATTTTATCGCGTCATCAAGCGTTTGAAATTTGAAAGAGCGGGTTGAAATATAGTCGTTGACCGCTTGCCCAGGCGGTCGAGAGCAATCATGGATAAGCCGTATTTCGGTTGACTGAGGCTTAGGAATAGCTCCTAGCGCGCTGACAACTGTAGGTTTAGTAGTAGTAGTGACGTAATTGCCCTGCATAATTTCCTCGCGGATAGTTTGTTCCACTTTAGCCTTAGTGGAGGGGTTTGTAGCTGATTTGTAATTTTCCATGTCCACTGCTGTGAACGAAGCGCTAATATCTGCCAATTGAAAGCCATTAACAATGCCATCTGCTAAAAATGCTGCGTCCTCGTCGCCCGCGAGTTCATGTAACCACAATTTTTGGTTAAGGGGGGAATTGGAGAGAGGTAGTCATTGGGTTGAAGGCTTTGCTGGCTGCTGACCCTGAAAGTTATGGGAATACCCCGAATGATTTAAACCACAAGCTTTGCCCCCGGCGGCGCGGCGATTGCATACATGCTCGAACACGCAGTTGGTAAAACTACATCCCCTAGAACTGTTAAAATTCCGGCAAATTGTGCGCCCTTCGTTAGTGGTGGCTATGAACTGTGAGTTTGGGTTAGCTGGATTAATACGATGACCAGTGCGTGGCGGTAGTGGTGTCTTGGGAATGGGCTCTAATAATACAGTATGCAAATGATTGGAGTCAAAGCTCCAAGGGTAATTATACGTGGCTTGTAAAACACGAAATTCGTCATCGTACTTTAAAACAGAAACCCACTGAAAACGATTTGCTAACTCCATGATCTTAATAGTATAAGCAAGATAATGCTGAATATCGTCATGCGATTGCAACTTGCCATTAGCTAATAAGTTATAGAAAATTCTAGTGTTGCTAACAACCCATTGTTGTAGGGTAACTTGCTCTAATTTAGGCTTCTTAGGTCCATAGGAGACTATTAATTTGGTGTTTCCACCATCAGATATTGTTCTCTCGTCCTCTCTGGGAACGATGTTGTCAACAAAGTCAATAATTTTTAACACTCTCTCACCCTTTGGGAGCTGCGCTGGCTTCAAGAACATCTCTGAGGTTCCTATCATTCCTGTCCTTTGCCTTGTGTCGCTCTGCTGGGCCCCTATTGCTTGACTTGGAACTGCATTCCAACATTGATTGGCAATTGATGTGGCTTGTTGCAGCGGCTGCAGAAGTCCATCGAGCGGTGTTTGGTTGCTGACGAGTCGCTTCAAATCCGTGATGTTGGTTGGCTCTGTTGGCTCCGAGCTTTCCGGAAGATCACCGTCCAGCTGTTCCGCGGCTTGATGAATTCGTGCTCGCTTCTCCTTAATAAGCCGTTGAAGCGACTGCACTTTACGCTGTTTCGCCTGGCGTTCTTCTTCCAGGTCGAGGTTGGCAAGTTCCTCTTCCAAGTTGCAGATTTGAGAGTCCATTTCCAAATGGACGGCAGCCTCGAAGTCAGGTTTTCTGGGAGAACTTTTTTCCTCCCCTTCGCAGAACTTGCTGGGGATTCCCCAGCTATGTTCGCTCGCTGGAGCGTCACATCCAGGGCATCTGGACGTTCTCTTGCTTGAGTCTTCGCTCGGGTCGGCCATAATTAAGCAAAGCTAATATAAACTAAAAAACTGAAAGCTGATAGAAAAAGAAAACGCGATAGTGTACTGTTGCTAGAATTATTCCAAGTGACCCTAGATAACATAGTCTTAAAGTTACATACGAGATATTAAGCAATAGCAAGTAATTTTACTATACGTACTGCGATTTTATTGGCTATGTTTAGTCTTATGACTATCATGCTCGGAAGTTGCTCAATCCTAGGTAAAATGACCTCGATCCTGCCTGGTCCCATATGTGAAACTACCGAGCGGTTATCGTGTCTAGATTCATATTAATAATATTAATATTCAACTATACAGTATTTCAGGGAATTTGACTTGGTCAAGTAAAAGATATGAGGTGACTTATCATTGACCTAATGAATCAATGTTTGAATATCATATGGACTATCATAATAAGTAAATACTGTGATTACAGGTAATAATAACATGATTGACATTTCCAAGCTAAAAAAATTTAACAACAACAATACCCACCATTAAACAAGGTCCCCTCTTCGGACTTTTTCAACTTTTCCAATTCTGTCCAAAAATAGAAGGGTCACATTATTAAACTTTGATATATTCCATTATGTATTTCAATTTTCTCCTTTAAAATTCTCCATTACGTACAGTATTGTAAGTATGGAATTTTTACTGACACACATTTGTAACATTACTCCAAGGAAGCGTATTTCAGTGATAATATTAAATTTAATTAATTCCTAACAAAGGGTGAATGTGCTATGCAATAATAATTGGTAGACTTTTGTCAATAACTATTGTTATAGATCATTTTACTGATCTCCTGCAGCATGAAACAGTCTATTTTCCCAGTCAACAAGAATTCCTACAATGCCTGAAATGTCAGCCGTCTCCACATTCCTCAACTTAGATTAAGAAGAAAGCATATCTATATCTAAACCTTCTGTGGCTTGGGCGATGGTGAGCCCCAATGCGGCGTCTTTGAATGTTTTCAAGTAATTGGCAAACTCTGCCACAGACTGGCAATCTTCTCCCGTTTCTAAATTTTTCGACACATGGTAATTGTATGAGGTCCTCACATTTTCCATGTAAAATGTTTTGTTTGGACGTAGGTCTCTGTATCAAGAATAGAAGACAACAATATAGTAACATGATAATTGTTGGAGTTTTCCACTAAAAGTTGCCACTATACTGTCGACTGACAATAATGTAACACGGTTAATTTTAGCGGCGTCGCGTCAACGCGGGTTTTCTTGTTGTGTTGGTTTTGTTTTGAATCAAAAGAAGAGAAGAAATGGCGGAAAAAAAAAGTCACCGACCGTGAGTCGAACCGGCTTCATGACAAAACCAAACCGCTAGAGTGGCTTTAAATGCTTATCACTTGCACCACCGAAGCAACAATGATGTGTTGTGGTAATTTTAAAGTAATAATCTTTGTAGCGGAACGAACAGTAAGCGGCTAAAGCAACGCTTCACTGAGTTCATTGTTTAGACAAACAAAAGATTTCTTTTGTTTCTCGTTCAACAAACACACCGCCAGGAAAAACTTTGTTTTTTTGCATACGTTATTTTTCGAAAACGAAGCGCAAACCAGCGAAAAAAAATACAGGGCAATGTTTTTCTATTTAATTGGAGGCCACATGCAAAAATTCAGGCACTTTTGAAAAAAAAAGAATTTTCCACTTAGCATAGTGTTTCAATTATGGACCCTTCAATTATCTAGCTCAATCTTGCGGAATATCACCTAATTTTAACCAACTTGGCCTACGGCCTCGTCGGCTAAGTATCACCCGCCCTCCCACTCTCTTTACTTCACTATAAACAACTTCACTTACCCAAGTGCACAGGCCAGAAAGATATATGTATACATACAATATTATTGTATGTGATGCGTAGCCCGCTTTAGCCATGTCGGCAGAAAATGCCTTTATTTTGTTGTCAGGCAGAGGCAAGAGACCCTCCTCCGTACCGAAAGCATTCTTGTGCCACACTGTATATGCTTCTCTGGCTTTAAGCATGGCATCAAGCTGCAGATAGCAACAACAGAAGCCATAAGTTTTCGATGGGGACTATGCACCCACCTAGCTCTCGCTAAATATTTCGCTAAATATTTCGCTTCTCACTCGACGGAAAGAGGGACTGCTCGTAGTCTAGAGAACTATTGGATGGTGAAAAAAAGATGTCTTTTTAACTGGTTGGCATATTTAAACTTAAGCTTAAATGACAAAAACAATGTTTGTAAACATATCTTCCCTATTAATATAAACTGCAGTTCATTGAAGAAAACAAACAAGTCTACTCACCATTGAGCGAAACTTTTGAAGCATCTTTTTTACAGTCTTTTTCACACAACGTAACGTAATTTGCTTTCTGCATGCGCTGCCTGGTTGTATTGCCCACTTCTAGCTACTTCTAGCTTGTCGAGGAAACCTTCAGTTAGCAGTTGTGCACAGATAAGTTTCCCTTGAACATTTGAGTCGATATCTGACAACAAATATGTAGAATTTCAAGCAATTAAAGCAGGTCTTTCGTCCTCATATCAAAAACTATCACAAGAGCTGTGGTCACACCTGTTTTCCACAGAAACTCATCGAGTGCATGCCGCGATGCGACGGCGCGTTTCCCGTTTCCCGCCGGATCTGTGAATATTGAGCCCGCGTATTTGTTTGTGAAGAAAGCCGCATACAAAATGGCTTCCCTAGATTCGAAAAGGTCGATCCGAAAAGGTTCCATTCGTTCGGTTGATCGTAAAATCTCCCGCTAAACTTTTCTATGCTACCGAAAAAGTGAAGAAGAAGAAAATTTTCTGTGGAAGCTAGTAAAAAGAGATAACTGTATTTGAGTTCAATAAAGAAAATCGACAGAATTTCTCCGTGATACTGATAGTTTATTATTAAAAATATACCGATGAAATCTTCTCAAGTAAAAACGAAAAAAAAAGAACGTGAAGTTCCCACACTTCATTAATTCCGGATTAATTCTACAGTGCCATGCTGTGAATGAAACTCAGACAACTCGATCAGGCCGGGAAAACATTTAATAATGTAGGATGCAACAGATCTGTTTCGAATGCCGTCATAATTCGATAAAAAAAACTCGACTACTCGTTTATAGATTTGTTGAATAACTCATAAAACGAAGAAAAAAGAAAAAAAGAAGAAGATGATTTCGGCCGGGTTTGATCCGGCGACCTTCTGCGTGTAAAGCAGACGTGATAACCACTACACTACGAAACCAATCACGAAAGAATCTGGTAAATTTTAACATTTTAAAGTAAATGTCATGGTAACGATGACGTAAGAAGTCAAATCCTTACGTCATCAGTGTGAAAAGTCACTGTCCACTACCGATCTCAAACGCTTGGAACAGGCTACGTTAATCATTACCATTACATTTTATGCGTGTTTCAGTATAAAACTAATCGCAGTAAAACACAGAAGTAAAATTTAATATTTCTGTTGGAAAAATATTTTATGACATAAACAAAATATTACGCCTGCTGCGATTGGTTGAAAACCATTTATATCACAAACAACAAATCTTACAATGGTTCGTATCCCGACACTGCCTTGCCCTTTCTTTAGCCATTTCGTCAAACCGCTTGTTTTAAAATGAGAAAAAAATTTCCCAGGAGGACTGCCGACGCGCGTCGTGTATCCTCGAGGCGATTTTCGCGCGCGCTCGCGTGCTCTCCCACTCCGAGAAAAATGAGGGACTGCTCTCGTAGTCTATTAGTGAGTGACGGTGAGCTGGTGCGAATTCGATTGGGGGCAAACTTTTTGACATTGGGCTAAAACTAGACTCAAAAAGTCCAACGTCCCACAACGTAGCCCCCCCAAAATGTCCCTCTATTCTCCGTATAAAAAAAATAGGTGAAGTCAAGAGAGTGACAGATTAAATAATGCGTCCACCTTTATTTATTTATCAAGCATCAGTCACAAACTTTAGGTGGACTACATGCAATCATTTTTCCTTTGTTTTGTTCAAAAATTATTTCAAAATCACTGCTTTTTCCTTATGCTTGTGTTATGTTCCGTTTTCACGTACGACGCAAGCATAAGAGCAAGCACAAGGATCAAAATATTTTGATCCTTATGCTTGCGTCAAGCCCGTTTTCACGGCGAAATAGAGCGGTTTAGTTTTCAATTGAGTGTCGAAAGTAAACATGCGTTTGCTTTGGTTTTGCTTTACTACGCTCTCTGATTGGTTCGAGAAACTCGCGCCACTTTCTTAACCAATCAGATGCCAAACTAAAACCAATCGTGACTTGGTCGCACGCGTTTTCCCGCGCTTGGCGTCGGTTACATGTGTTTGCTTTGAGTTCTGATTGGTTCCTTGTGTTGTTTCGTCTGTTGTGATTGGCCAGTGATTACTTTGGTTTTGGTTTTACTACACTCAATTGAAAACCGCTCTAAGGGCTCTTGTGCTTGCGTCGCTAGTGAAAACCAGGCTTTATGTCACGCGAACAAACACACTAGACTAATAATCCAATCTTGACAGAACTCGTTATTCAAAGAAAACTTCACCGACCTGAGATTTTTATCAAGAGACATATCCCGGGCCAACAAGGGTTTCTCATTACAGGGGAGGCGGGAGTGGGTAAGGTAGTAGTGCTTGGGGCTTATCTTTCTCGTATGCACAGGGGCTTTTGACAGACGGGGGAACAAGTTCCATTTTGGCAAATCTTCGTTGAAGCACTCGAAGAGTTTCCGATTGTTATTATCCAATTATTATTATTATTATAGCACTCGTGAGTGCTCACGGTGAGAATACGTCATGTTGCGTAGCAACGTCGAGACGGAAATCGTGGGCTCAGTCCGTTTTCGGAATCAACTGGTACTCATTCTCCCGACTGTAAAATAGCGTCAAAAAAGTAGACTGCAACATTGTCGTTAATCAACACACTCCAATATCGATTGAACGTAAGATTTATTCATCATTTATAGCTCCAATTAACCCAAAATAAAGTTAGGTCCGTTTTTCAAGAGTCCTCTGTTATCCAGAGTTCAACAATGTCGAAGTTTATGTGGTGATCCCTGAAAAGAACAAAACAAGAGCATTAGGTTAGAGTGACGGCAAAATATACAGCAACAAAGACTGTTCGTTTTAGTTTTTACTGCTATACGAAGGGAAACAGGGGCCTAAACACGAGAAAAATTTATAATTGAAGGACAAGAGGTTCCCACCCCATCATATATCGTGTTTTGACCAGTGAAACCTAAAAGGTTGAAGGAAAAAAAACTCTGGTGTATGTTTTCCTGTTTGCAGTATATACTCCTTCAAACTTTGCTTTTACAAAATAACTGCGACACAGCGCGTAAGATTAGTCGAACTAATGTTCCGGTCAACCGCATGACAGTGGCCTAAAAGTCTGTAACACAGCATACATGCGGTTTGCTGCGCTGAAATACAATGCTTAAACTTACCGCTTAGAATTAAACCGCTGTCCGGCTCCATGATTTCCACCCCTGCTACAAAATACAAAAACAAAAAACGTTAATCCAAGCAAAAAGAGACAAGACAGTCAAAAGAAAACAAACAACACAATCAACCTGATAACGAAAGCTGTTTAAAGATACTTTCACTTACTCTTTTGCTCGGATCGACTTTCCGACCCGGTGCCCTTTTCGTCCCGAACGGAACCCCGGCAGCCACAGTTGTTGCTGTCGTCGAAGTCGCGATGATCCCCCCCTGAGGATTCCACCCAGTATTTCGACCGACGGGTCTTGAACCGGGGGAGGCACCAGGCGGGATTGAATTGAACTCCGGAGTGTCGCTGGTGTAAAGTTGCCGAGTACTGTTCAACAGCTTCACCCGAGGTCCCTAGAAGATGAATAGGAAATGGGAAAAAAACTCAGATGAAGGACAATCAGTTGAAGTTGTCGTGCTTAGAGGGAAAACTAATACCAGTACACAGCAGGCTCGGGCTAATACCAGTTAACAAATAATAACATTGGATCGTACGCCTTGCCCAGGAGCAGAACGAGTAGATGAGGACGGTAGGCGCCGTATGCTCCACAGAGCGAAGGGAAAAGAGAGTGGAGATATAGGTTTTGACATTCACAAAATATGTTAGACTGTCCACACCGTCTCTATTTTCTCGACGCTAAAGAGAACGAGAGAAGAGAGAGCCATTTTTCTCCTTCCCCGCCTCCCACCCCCTCGGGCTCGCGCTCGCTTTTTAGCGTCTAGAAAATAGAGGCTGTGTACAGTCTAGAACTACGTATAAATTGATGTATCTGCAATTGACAGTTTCCTGGAATAAAATTGTGTTTACGAAGCGTACAAGTGGCATAGAGCCTTGTTTAATAAAACACTTGTAAACTAGCTGTGTTTTCCGACACAGGAAGAAACTAGGAGACGCCTGCACGCAGGCTATCAACTAACAGGACAAATACGGCTTCTGTGAAAGATAAGAAGTTTCCCATTGTTTTACGATCTCCGTGGTGTTGAGACCATCAACCAACATGTCGACTAAACGTAACATGAGAACAAAATCAGTTTTCTCACCTTCGGTAGGCCGATATCTGAATAGTCTTTTTCCGACATCAACAGAAGAGCATCCAGGTCTATTTCGTTTTTCTACAACAACAAAAAGAGAAAAAAGTGTTGAAGCACTCGAATTGAAGTGTTTCGAAGACTCGCCCTGTGGCAAACCAAATGAAACTTGACTGCAAAGAGGAGGGTTGGGGTACTTGATCGTGACATGAAAATGTTTTACCTAGATCCCCAAGTGCAGCTGTAAACTGCATGCAGTTTTTTCCATAGACGAGTGATGATATCGTTCATATCGGATTTGACAACGCCTACATTTATTTCAAGTCGTGTTGTCACAGAATGCTCGTGACAGAACAGACAGTACGATTCTGCGCGCGCGCAATGCAAATTCACGTCAGCAATAAGAACAGGTGACGACAAGAATATCTACGTAAAAACAACATTGAAAATTGAAAAAAATATCAAATATACGGGACATGCAAGTACTGCTCAATAGCTTTCATTTGAATGGTCACACACTAGGGATTTATCCACATACATGTACGTAAAAGTTAGAAACAAAATAATTGACTTCATGCTTGCTTCTGGGAGTGAAATAACAAAATTTACCTGGAAGAGACCGAGATGGCTCGAGAGCGAAAGCCGTTCCAAGAATGTTTGAAGCGTATCCCCTGGGTTCACACCAAATTGCTCCTCCTCAGAGCCTGGTAACGAGTTACTGCCGCTGATAAGAGGTGGTGAGGGCGCAGTTGAAACTGGGGCAGACGACCAGCCTGCTGACAGCGTGGGATCTGGGGCAAACGAGTAGCTCCAAACTCCAGCAACTTGAGTTCCCTCTGCATCGAAAAGAAAGCGGGAAAAAAGAAGCTTTATTCAAAAGCTTGAAATTTTTTAGAAGGTCCACTAAGTAAACGAATCAAACAGTGATGTGAAAACGATGACAACTGATGTTTCGGAGGGTTTTAAATAATATTGACTTTGCGCACATCCACTCTCTGTAAGTTTAATAAAATGTTGCTAGCGACCTTAACAATCAGTAGCAATTATCAGTTAGCTTCTCCATTAAGGGGACGCCCTCGGGCGGGACAAGGAGAAGTGTCCCCTTAATACAGGTGTCCCTTTAATAGAGGTTAATAGATACAAAGATTATACCAGATTTAATTTTACTGGGACAAACGCTTGTGTTCCATTAATTAAAAGAAGTGTTCCCCATACCAAAGTAGAGGTTCCACTGTACTGACGTTTCTATCTTACTCCTAAAGGGTAAAGAGCTTAAATCCCGTGTGTTTATAAAAGTCTCAAATACCTGTTCCTATTAACGGTGATATCCCAGGCACTGACGGAAGTGGACTGGCACACACTCTCCTCGATGCCCTCTCGGTTCCTATTGGCCGCAGGGACGGTTTATCCCCCGACTCCACCAGTGAGGTACTCCCCCCAGGGGCAAGCGATGTCCCTATGGGGGAGGAGTTAGGTGATGTTGACGATGAAGGTGTTGTAGTTGGCACTGGGGAGCCAGAGGAGTTGGGAGGGGAGGACGATGCTGCCTCGTGCGAGAGAGGGGTAAACAGGGCCCCTGGGGTTGTGATGTACAGGGGCTGTGTGATAGGATCAGCCGGGGACACAGACGAGGGATGGTCCAGCTCCGAGACAGGCCCAACATTGGGTCGGTTGCTGGGATGCGCGATATCATTCCATACACTGGGACTCAGCGTCTGACCAACATGCGACAGGAGAT